ACAAGACGACTGTTAAAGTCTGCTGATGAGATCTGCAAGCTGATGCTGGAGCTCCATTAAAGGAAGACTGGAATGACTAAACTTTGCTAGAACTTTTCATTTCTTACATATTTTTTTAAAATGGATTGATCTCAGCGTTTCTGTAAATGTAAATGGTACTGATGACTGTTGTGACAGCTGATATTATTTTCTAAAATCTTTTTGAAATTCCAACAGTGGAAATGGAATGACATTTCCTATTAAATACAAGCTATTTAATCAGTAATACTTATGTGCTTTTTCAGGTGATATTTCGGTGATTCATCTTTGTGTTTTGTATAAAATCAGTTGACTTAAGTAGGGTCAGGAAGTTTTGCCATTAATTCCAGTGGAAGTAAAATATAATACTTTATTTTGCTGTCAAAAGTTGTATTTCTTCTTTCTTCCCTTTTCTACTTCACAGCAATGGCATACCAGTGCAAATCCTGCCATGATTAAACACCTAAGAGTGTGTATGTATAGAGTCGGGGGACAGTGGTTTCCCTTCAATACCAAGATTAGCCGCAATTTTTAACATTTGCCTGCAGTGGTTGAATTGCCTTGTTCCAACAGAGTTTTCGCTTAAGCGTATAGTCAGGCCTCTTAGAGCTTAGTAATTCTTTGTATTCCACTGACTACAAAAAGGAAAAGGGAGATCTACACTGCGTTGGTCTTGCACCATTTTGTCCTTGGTGTGGACAAATGTCCACCTTTGTCCTGAGTGCTTCAGAAATGCATACATAATATTCAGATAAGGTTATACAGCTTTAACTGATAAAATAATTTGTAACTTACTCTTTTCACTTTTTTCAAGCTATTTCTGGGACCAATGATCTCTGTGTGTGTGAGATACGTTAGTTTTTTGGCACCAGTGGTACTCACATTACCAGTGCCTTGATGACAGTCATGTTGCTTGCTCTACTACCATGCCCCGTGCTGCTCTGGAGTTGGGCCCTCTCTGCCATGAAGACATCATCATCATCCTCCCACCAGGCTGATGCCACAGGTTCTGTTTATCCTGGATTTTGTCACTTGAATGTTTGTTTTGGAATAAATGAACTTAGCCTTTTTACAGATAACACCACTAAGTGACCTGAAGATACTCCTTCCCTTTCTTCATTGTTCCTTCACATTGTAGTAAAGGTATTGTGAACCAAAGATAAAGGAACCTGACTGTCAAGTTTCCTATAGAGGAGTTCCCTTTATTCATAAAACAGGATATGAAATATAAAGTGAGTATCTCAGGACCAACAGTATAAAGTTAGAAGAGAAAACAGAGGAGATATTTGAAAACTAGCTGCTTATTTTCTTTATTCGCCACCTCCTAAGCGAGGTATGAGTGTCATTGCTGTTTGCAAACCCTATAGAAGAGAAATCGTAAAAGACGAAATGCCTGAAGATGGGCATTTCCTGCCTGTACTGTTCATCTGTATCCAGCACCGTTAGGGTTGCTACTAATGGTCACCTGGAAATAGGGAATTATTGTCCTTGGCTTTTCTATTTATTGTTTTATCTTATTCATGAAACTTAAGCCAACCAGATGAAGTAACTGGGTCATATGCAGGGTGTAAGGTCTTATGTACCTGCCTGTGATTAGTGAAAGAGAAGAAAATACTGCTGCAGTTACTGGAGCAGGACTGCTATTCTTCTAAACCTTATCTGTACACAAGACTTGTAGTTGCGTGGGAACATAAGCGACATTCCTCTTGAAATACCACACCTAGATATTACAAGAAAGTCAAGATGTTTCTCAGTCTGTATCTAAACAGCAACATGTAAATTAATTTTCCAGGTGGTGGATATGAGTGGGTGTCTTAGCTGTGTCCCAGCTCCTTCTTGGGCTGGATCCAAACACACAAATCTATTCATGTTTCCTGGCTTCCATGTGAAGAAAATTAAAGCATGCAGGACAAAAGGGAAGCTCTGACCAGGTGCTCAGTTTTCACAGCTGTGTGAGAAAGATCCCAAGGCATGCTGTGGGGCATGTCTGCCCTGTGATTTAAATGTAACTTCTATTCACCAGCTTCTCTGTTGCCTTCTTACTGCTCCTAACTCCAGCTGTTATATTTAGGTACCTAAATACCTCTTGGGTATACCTTATTTCCCCATTCATAAAATGGAGAATATACCCCTTGTATTCCCTCTCTCTCTTGCTTTGTTACATGGTAGGGATTTTGGAATAGAAACCCCGCATCAAAGGCGATAACCTGAATGTATGATGATGCATTTGTGAATCTCCTGCTAGCCACAACATCTAGTATGTGAGCATCACAGTTGTAGATTGAAGTGTATTTGTTGGAACATTTATAGGACACAGTATAGAGGTTCATCATTTTAACTTAGGAAATCAACTCAGTGTTTTCATTAAAGCACTTCTGTGGACAGAAGAGAAGATGGTTTTCAGGAACTATAGGAGTAACCAAGTTAAGCTGAGAGTGCCTGTTGCTTTTACTTGGTTTTGCAAGCTGGACCTAGGAGGAGGGGAGATGCCATTGTGTTTGCTCGTCCCTTGAAAGATGACAGCTGGGAGCTGCAGGCAAATGATGAGATCTGAGTCACTGCTGGGTATCAAGTCAACAGTGCTATCCTCTTCCTGTGGTCTGTTGGAGGACAGCCCTGCTGTGTTCAAATGCAGCATCAGCAAATGATCCAACCATTGTGGTTTCAGTGATGACTTGGGGTCGATTTATGGGGTCATGCCATACTAGTCACTTATTTTTTGTATAGGTTGTGTTGGTAAGAGAGACATAGAAACATGCAGGGGATAGAGCAATTGAGGATTCTGGCAGTAAAATTTTATTTTTGTCTTTGCATCTCTGATGACCATTTACTAGGGAAAGGCATAAACCATGCTGAGGGAAGTGTTATAGAAGCAAATCCTCTCCCACCAGGGTTGTATTACCTCCTCTCCATATAGTGGAGCCTGTTAATCTGCTATTGTTCTTGCCAGTGGGACAGTGCTTGCTCAAGGCCATTTGTCACTCTTTTATTGCTCCTGGAGACTGCAAAACAGCAGGGTCTGTTTTTTTCCTCAGACTATGACATGTATTTATGATGCTACATTGTAAACTGCTTAGCAAACCTGGAAGGACAACATAGAACTGGAGAAAAAAAAAAAAAAAGAAGATAAATCATCAGGGAATAGGGCGGTTCTATAATACTGAACTTGGGGTATAAATCATTGATCCAGATGAGTCTCTCGAGAGCCTTCCAACCTGGAAAAGCTATGCTGTTACTTGCCTGAAAGTGCACAGGTCACAAAAGCCATCGTATGTGTAAAGGCCTGCTCAGGGGTAGGTCATACAAGGTCCAGATGACTGCATTGGATTTAGATGTTCATTACAGGTGCTATGCAGGAAGGAATTGCTTGTTTGGCTTTATTCCCACCAGTGAATCATAAGATCCAAGATGGCAAATGCTGCTGTTGCTTTTGCTGCTTTGGGGATCTCGCTGTTTAAGTGACAGCAAACATCTGTGCCACTGGCTCAAATGTTTTTAACTTACTGACCTCCCTGCCTCCCTGGGCATTCCTCAGTGTCATCAAGGTGAAGTTGCTAAGGGAAGCACAAAGCCAAAAGTCTGGCCTTGAAGCTGTATGCACTGTTTGTGACTGAAGTACTTGACAAAACTTGAAGAAAAGTCAACGGGGACTGGTGCCTGCATTAGGTGTGTGATAAATAGAATGAGCACAGTGCAAGGGGTAGGTTCTCAGCTGGTAGAAATAGCCATAGATACATTGATTTATCCAAGGTGTTTTTTTCAATTGTGAACGTAGCTTGTGTCATTCCTGGTTTTTGCCATGTCCCAGTTCTAGTGTATGTGCCCATACACAGCTTCATTCTGTATTGCAGGCTTAGAGGAAAAGCACACCTGGCAAAGATCCATCTCTGTCTTCTCTGGAAGAATAATTTTTGGGGGTGGTCAGGGAGGACTAATACTGATCATTACCTGCTTGGGGCAATCCCATACATGCCCTCCCATGGCTTGGTGTCTCCAGATGGACCCCAGCTCATCTTATTTGTAAAGGATAGTTTTCGTGTTCTATTGCAGGTTTGTCACCTTGCATTCATTTTGCACTCACCCCAGTGAAGTCAATGGGAGTTCAAGGAGGGAGACAGGATTTCACTCCATCTGTCTGTCCATTCTGTATTATGGAACACTCAGCACACAAGTATGTGCACTTCATCAGCTCTGCTATTAATTAAGCATGTTCCTGGGGGACATACTTAGCCAGATGTGACCAAGTCACCAAAGTGCTTGGAGTTTAGCTGGGTTTTGTCTGGAATTTATGTGAACTCTGGTGTTTCCAGGGGCAGGGGAAGAAGCTGGTTTTTGTGTGGAAGGCCCATTTCTCAGGTTATTTTTGAGCTAAGGCTACAGGGTTAGAACACGACATTTTTCTCTCAGAACTCAGGAATCACGTGCACGTGACATAAATGCAAGGCATGAAACAGAGGCGTTTTATCTGCTATGAGCAGAGTGATCTGGAACAAACCAGCAGTCCGTCTGGATGACCTGCTCATGTGATCTTTGGCGCTTACTGATGTCTGGTACCATATTTAACTTGAACGTAGTTTTGCTCTGAAAAGTGACTTTTTATAAAGTTGGTATCATGAAGTTCCACAGTTCACTGCGTTTTCCATGCTCAAGCATGCTCGCTTTATCAGTCAATGAATACTTACTCCTGACTCTGTCTTTGCACATCTGTTTCTGAAATAAGCCATATATTTCTTTTAGCTCGACCTCAACAAGGATTCAGTAACTGGAAGTTAGCAATTGTATTGACTATATACAAATCAAAATAAAATATAGTTTGCACTGTCATAACTGTGTTGACTCCACAGGGGTTAGCAAGAGTAAAATTTGTTTTACAACTTGGTCAAGATGTGATTCTGGTTATGCACAAAAAACAATGAAATAGTGCCACTTTTATACAGTCACTTTTCAGACCGTTATTATAATATTTTCTTTGTATTAAAACAACTATAGTTTTCTAAATTCCCTTTACCCAGGTTGTAAATTTAGTTGTAAATTGCTGGGTACCGTTGAGCGTATTCCAAGATGACATCAAGTACGCTTGTATGAAGAGTGATGGCTGACAAAAGCACAGATCCAGCTGCAGGGCTGTTAATCGGAAAACAGGCTAGCAAATGATTTCCTCAGGTTGCGGATGGTCTCGGCTTTTGCTTCGTCTTCATTGGCATTTCCCCGCTGAGATGACTCAGATATGCTGAAGCTGTTTGTCAGGGACTGCGATTTGCTGAAATGGAAAACAGTTCAGACTCAGCAGGAGAAGGCGGTAGTTCAAAGCTGGTTACGGATGCTTTGTGTTCCATCACACAGACAAATTCAAGGATAAAAGGAGAGGTAAGCAAGGAGAATCTCCATATGCTAAGACATCCGGGAATGAGGGGAAGGGAGAGGATGGGGCATGGGCAGGTGGCTCCAATATCACAGTCCAGACCAGTAAGTGTTTATGAAAACATCTGACTAAAAACATGCAATTGCCATTTGGTCTAACTGTTGTGAGGAACAGTTAAGTAATTTCACTACTAATACAGAAGAATGGATTCATACTGAGGGTCACCTGTCTCTTATCAGCCGCACCATGAATGGTGGTGCTGTCCATTCAAATGTGAGAGCACAAGGGGTTGGGCAAGTTGGTAGCCATGTCCCCTGCAATGCGTGCTGTTGCCTGCGCTCCCTGGCATGTCTGCTCTGACTGTCAGCTGTGTTACACAGGTCTTTCGGTTGGCCACATTGCTTCTGCTGGGTGTGTATCTGCTAGTGTTTAAGTTCAGATCAGGACTGTGCTTTTGAAGTAAACCTCCCAATTTTCTCCACTTAAAGTACCTGAAATATGTATAGTGTGGAGACTGCGTCCTTAGCACCAACATCTTGATCCTTAAGTCCACTGGTCTTGGTTTGCTTTGCTAATGTAGACATCACTGAAAGCCTGTTCCAGAACATCGCTCCTCTGCTGTCTAGAAACTGTCTTCTCATTCCTAGCCTATATTTTGTTATGGTCTGTTCATACCAGTTTGCTCTTGTGTCAACTTTTTGTCAACACCAACCATTTTTTTGCCAATCTTTCCTGCCATGGTGCCAGTCAGATATGCTCCATGAAGGGTGGCAGCAAAGGCCTCTACCAAAGATCCACAATAATTCAGTGGCGTGCTCTGCTCCAGAAGAGCGTTTAAACATTTTTTTGCTACCAATTGCAAAAAATTGCCTCGTAAAGAACCCTGTGTGGCTCCTGCATTCAGGGAATAGTGAAGGAATGACTCTTGTTGAGCTTTCTGGCCGATAATGTGTGGATTACAGCCTGTAAGGAGTACACACCCTGCTGGGATGGTAGTAGCTGTGTTGATATGGCTGGGGTAGAGCACACGATTAACTCTGAGCGCATGAGCAAGAGGAAGGATGTGAAGTCTTAGAGATGCCAAGTGCAACTTGTTCTTCCTGACAACAGTTCAATGATGGCCTGTTACACCCAGGCATATATACCTCTGAAGTCACTCATAGTTGTCCAGGCCTTTGTCCCTGGGGACTACTGCCTGACAACAGGTGGTGTGTTCTTCATGCCAGCTCAGGGTACTTTTTTGACAGCCTTATTCTAATATCTACAGATATTAGCAGTTTAACAGAGCACCTACTTCAGATGCGGGTGTGGGGTGGCTTGCTGCTTGGACGTTTCAGTGGGGCTTGGCTGGCTAGGAGCCCGGCCTTGAGCAGGAGGTCTAGGCTGCTGTGGAGGGAACACGCCTGTCTTGGAAGCCTGGACTGGAGAGGACCCAGTTGCTGATCGGACTTGCTGTGGAGATCCAGGTGACCTTTGCTGCTGAGGTGAAGTGGACTGGGGACTCTGGGGCTGCTGTCCTTGAGGAGAGAGCCGCTGCTGTGGAGGTGCGTTTGTCCGTGGAGGCTGAGATCCCTGAGGCTGGCGTGGTCCACCTGAAGGGACATGTAGACACAAACATGAGGAAGTGCATGTGGTGGACAACAAGCAAGGAGCATCTGTATGGGAGAATGGGTTTTGCTAAGGGACAAGACTATTCAGAGTATCTTCATGCAGAAGGATAAGGGAAAACGTCTTTCATAGGCCTAAAACTGGTGTCATGCCCATGTCTTTAGAGTTGTGGTCCACTTCTCTACTTCCTTCAGCACTAAAGAAGCTCTGCCACTCTCCCCAAAGGGAGACACTTCAATGTGCTGTACTCTTCTGTGTAACTAATATTTCTTATCTTTGGCAAGCACTTCTTGTGTTGGGAAGGAAGGATCACTGGAGAACCAACCCTGCAGGAAATGAAAGCTGAATCTGCTGGTTTGGGTCAGCAGTCTCTTCACGGGCCCAGCAGTTTGATGTGAGACTGTGCACCTGATCACTATCCATATATCTGTTCCAGCATTATCAGCAAGTGGCTTCAGCCATATTGGTAGCAGACTCTCAGAACTGAAGTGGATGTGGAAAATAATTGGATGTGACATGAGAAATTGCTGGCCATGACAGATAACAGTGTGAGAAGCTGACAAAAGTTACAGATAGTGTTGTGAGGGCTGGCTGGATTTCACAGGTGGTCAAGGAGGAGTTAGGTGAGAAAAAACTTCACAGAGAATTGAAAGGGAGTACTGGAGACAGATGGGGAAGTAGTATCCTGCAAGGCCAGCAATTCCTACGTCATCATATCAGTAACAGTGTATAACGTGAAGATTACATAGATGCCTTTGGTACCAGAAATACCAAATTTTGGATACAGAGAAACTGTGACCATTGAGGAAAAAGTAATTAGAGGTGGGTGTTAATTTGGTAGGAGATTGGGGTGGAGAGAGGAAAGGACAAAGGTGGCAAAAAGGAGGGTCTAATTGGTTACGTGAATTGAGTAGTTGGTGTGGTCTGGGTACTCACAGGGGAGCCCTGTGCTTCATCACCTCGGTGTAAATCAGGACAATAAACCAAATCTGTTGTTCTGACCAACCACATAAGTCAAACCTGCTTCTGCTGTCAGGAGGAGCTGGGGGTGTGCTCTTGCTGAGAGGGGAACACCTGTACAGATGGATCAAGGATCCTGGCATCACCACGTTGGTGTCTGTTCCAAGCCTGACAGACAGCACCAGCATCTTCCCATCACTTCTTAATCCCTGTAGCCACTACAGCTTTGTGCAAACACAAATACACTCTGTGCCCAGAATTCTGCTCCAATGCCAGTTCAAGTGGCCTCACATCGCTGAGCCAAGTCCTGCCAGCAGTGTCAACTGGATCTGTATCAGTTTCACTCCACTTTCTGAGCTGCTGTGGAATATGATAGCTGCTGCTTTAACAGCACACTGCATTTGCTGCCTCCTTGTCAGTGAATTCGAACAATGACTGAAACCTTTATCCCGATAGCTTTTATTTCGAAGGAAAACTGATATGTCTCAGTCCACGCTGTCATGGGGCCTGAAGAACTGTACCTTGGGGAGGAGGCCGTGGTTGGGACAGTTGTCCAAGCTGAGGTCCAGTCTGAGATTTCATTGATGCAGGCTGAACTTGTGGAGGCTAGAGGAAAAAAAGCCATTCCAGTTAATACAGAGTCCCCAAAGAGAAACCCTGAGGTAATATAGGAACTGCGGAGTCATGAAGTGTTCCTTAAAAATACACACACACACACACACATGCAGCATCTGGCTGGTAAAATCTCATGGGACTAAGATGGAGAGCTGAGTAATAAATAAAAATAAAAGTTGTTTGCTCACAGGGAATAACAATGAAGTTATAATTTAGAATGTTTTTTAGGCAATCAGGCTGGAGGGGGTCTCTTAGTCCCATCTCCCATTTTGGACAGTTGCCAGCACCAGATGTTCCAAAGGAAGGAGGGATGAACCATGGAAACATCTATGGAGTAATCATCTCTTTACCCTAAGGGTTGTCCTCTTGACTGCTAATAAGCAAGGGCCAGCTTAAACCCTGAAACATGAAGCTAACTATCTGCTCCACAAAATCTTTGCAACAGTTCCAAATATTTTGTTTTGATATTTACACCCAGACCCTTTGAGTCTTGTTCAGCTCTCAGCCTCACTGCTTTTCCCATTTCTTAACTCCATTGTTTTGTTCTGAGTTTTGAGAATAGTTCTCACAACCTGCCCTTGCTAGGCCATTCATTATTTTGCAAACCTTTACTGTCTTCTCTCTCATTCACCTCCTTTCTAAAGCCAAGAGACTGAATCCCTTTGGTCCCTCCATGGGAATGTTTCCAGGCCCCTAATTGTTTTCATCACCCACTTCTCTTTCCCAGCTTTGTGATTCCTTCTGCAGATGCCAGAGGCAGGTCTGCTTACATTATTCCAGATGCAACAGTATTTGGGTTCTCTGTATACATCACCAGCTCGTTTCTCCTGCATCCTAATTTCCTGCTTCTCCCTTGTCAACACAACCATAGGCTGAGCAATGGTTTTCATTAGCCTGTATGTGACAATGTCTTTCTCAAGGGGCATGGCTAGTGCCACTTGCAAGGTCTACAGATTGTTTATGTTCTCCCTCTCTCTACCACCAGCTTAGTTTACCTTTCAGTCTTCCATACAGAATTTCATTTGCTGTTGTGGTGACTTAACATACATAGCTCTGTCAGATGTTCTTCACTGCCATCCCTGGTCCTGACTAATGCAAATAAGTTGGTGCCATCTGTGCTTTCTTCTCTCTCACTGTTTACTCTTTTTGATGGATATTTTTAAAAACAGATTAAGCAACACAGAACTGTTGCACAAAGGGCTGGCCCAAGGTTAACAAAAGTCTGAGTAAGCCTGTTGCACAAAATTGTTTATGAAAGCAGGGGAAGCTGGAGACAGATAGGCTGGTACATGCTGGATTATTTACATGGAGAACACAGTGATAAAGGGGTCTTCAAGGCTCCTGGAAGGTCAGGAGAATGAGCTAAGTGATTCGGGAAATGGGAAGAAATGTTCATAGTTGGAAGCATTGAAACGAGTTTCAACTGACTAACATTAATGTGATGAGGTTGTCAGCCCATCTTTTATACTGTTTTTCTGGGACTTGCCAAATGGACAGGGAGGAAAACCTGGGAATTTTCCATTTGTGGCTTCTAGTCTTATGTAGCTTGGGACACTAAACCTTCCCTTGGTGTTGGTGAAAATTTACTGTCCTAATGCTGTGAGACATCCTGAGTAGACCAGCCGAAGAAAGGGAATCGGATCTCATATTCACCACTATGGCTTTTGCCTACAACCAACCCAAGGCTTCTCAGAGATGAAGGCAAAACAGGATCTTGAGGCTCAGAGATGAAGGGGTGAGGGCCAGCCCAAGGTCTTCTGCCTTTGGAAGGGAAACAGTGACAGGAAGGGATGGAGGTGGGGCAGAGAGGTGAGGTGCGGAGAGAACTGCAGCTGTAACCATGAAACCAGAGTTCCTGTTGTAGCCATGAAAAAAATGTTTTCATTAACATTTTATCCTGTCCTGGGTTCAACTAACCCAATTATCAACATGACCAGGCTTGGTATTCTTTACGTATCCCCTCTGCTAACTACAAGAATTAGAATCTTTCATATCTATGCCTTTATTGGATGCCAGCTTCTGCTCCACAATGAAACTTTGCCTTTTAGCCCCTCCCTGCTTGCTTTCTTTAATAGTACTTGTCTGTTACCTTGCCTAAGGCGTTTTGACAGTCTAGCTGCACTATTTTGACTGATTGCCTGTTATCTACCACTTTATGAAAGAATTCTAAAATAAATGATGGGAAAAGAATCAAAAGGAAATTAATGGGACATTTTTCTTTGCAAAAAAAATATGTGGTGGATAGTCTTAAGCCATGGTTCTGTTGTTTTATTAGTCTTCTGTATTATTCTTTAAATTATTGTCTGAGATAATTCATAAGGTCCATAACCCTTACAACTTTTTAAACACATATTTTGTATTTGTTGTACACCAATCCTCTGGAGCAAAAACTGTTTCTAATGAAATTGCACATTTTTTCTTGGCAGCTTAGTCACTTCCTAAATTCAGTTCATTGGATGTAGCCACCTGGGTCCCGAGGCTTAATAATTTTTTAAAGTATCAGTCAACACTGATTTAATCACTGTTTTTGCTCTCACTCCTGTCTTTCTTATCAGGAAAAACTATACCTAGTTTAAAAAGTTCCCCACTTTCAGCAATTAAATTTACTAGAGTCACAACAGCATCCCTGTTGTCTTCCTTTTCTCCCTTAACTTTGGATGATCCATAGAGCCCACCAATTGTTTGGTAGGGTTCCATCTTTTGATGAACTCAAAGAATTTGTTTCATTCTTCCCTTTATCTGTTCTTCAAAATCAATTTCTATCCCTTTTATGTTTCCTTTTATTACTTGCGTGGTGGTGCATAAAGGACTTCTTACATGTCAGATTTCCAAATTGGGAAGATTTTTTTTTCCAATATGTCTTGAATGTCCTCTGTCACTTTACCACTTAACTCTAGAAGTTTATTTCTTGCATTCCTGGTTCAGAAGCAGATCAGAAATGTATATATGCATTCTGGAAAACAATGGTCTCTCAAATAATGTCCATACAGCTTTACTTTTAATGCTAGGGAATCGATTAATTTTCTCATTTTATTAAAATCACCTTTTCTAACTGTGTCATACTGTTACTTTTTGATATCACATCTGTCCCTTGGACATCAAACCTAATAGTATATATTAACTTTCTGAATTTGTACCTGGGTGTTTCTTAAGGCTAGGTCAAGGTGTTTTTTCCTATTGCACTTGGATTTTGCAGCTCTAGGAAGCAGACATCTACAGAGATGGGGAACTCTCTCTGAATTGCTGTCCCACTGTGCTATTTGACTTGCTTCTTGATAGCTGTAGTCTCACATTATTATGACTTGTTGCTTCTTCCACCTCTGTCAATGCTGTGCACTCAGTTTCATAATTTCTCAGTTTTTCCTGATCCAGAGACTAGTATGGACAGCTCCAGTAATATGTATAGATATCCTATGCATACCCATAGGATATCCAAGGATTTATATTTCTATGTATTCAGTACTGCTGTCCTTCTATTCAGAATTGTTATTTTTCTTTCTTCTGTGAAGTCCTTGCCTGTAGATCTAGTTCTGCATCTTACCAGCCTCTGCATGTAGTTACTTCTCTCTGCACACCTGTAACCAGGTGTTATAGCATTATGTTAATAACTGCAGCTTGTGCGGTTTCTGCAGTTTGTTGTACCAAGATCTTTCTCTATAGCAAAACACGCTAGTTAACATGTTTGTGGTTTTAATTTTCTTGATTTTGTATACAGATATTTGTAGGTTGTATTCTTGATGAAGACCCTTTTCTTATTTAACTTTTCTATTTGACACCCTATCGCTCCAAGACAATTTATTTTGTTCTTATTTTGGCCCTATTTTAAGTCTGTTGTAATCCAATCCAATCCTGTACCAGTGTATTACAGAGACAACAGATGCATCCGTCCATGTTCTCAGTTTCTGTTGGCTTCCCCTTTGCTCTTAGTTTACACACTCTCTATCTTGGTTATTTCAGATGGCAGTTGTTGATTTCACTTTGGCCAGAGTAAATCCTGTCCCTTCTGTATCGCTTTCCCTGCCTCAAAGCATTTTTAGTGTCTATTAAATGTTTACGCCCTCACTCTAGCTAAAACTTGGTTTGGAGTTACCCTGAATACCCTTCATGCTGGGGGCCTGGTTTAGCAGGAGTGGACTGTCATATGACAAAGCCAGAGAACCATAAAGTCCTTTTTCCCATTTTTTGTCTCAAGTGGAAATGGAAACTGTTCCAGTGCGTTGCAGTCAGTATTATCCCTCAGCCTGTTTACTCTCCTGTCCTTTCTTCTGTACAGATTTGTTGTACTCAAACCTTCATGCTTTACTCCCTGCTAGATACTGAAAAAGGCGTAGCACATACACCTGGAGGCACAGATTATACTCTGGTGTGTTTCATTTATACAGAACTGCCACTGGGAAATGTGGTGCTAAGATTAGATGCATTTGATAGTCAAAAGGAATGTACAGGAGAAGCACTAAGGGGTCAGTTTAAATGCAAAAATGACAGGTTCTTATATGAATTGAGCATTAGTCAAGCCTCCTCCTGATGAAGGGGGTGAAGGGCATCTCCAAAGAAGAAAGGCTGCAGTAAGGAATGGAACAACTTTTGCTGAAGATTCCCACTTTCCGTTCTGGGAAACACAGATTTTCATCAGGGATGCAAGAATCGGAATGAAACCTATCCTGAGAGATGGTGTTAGATGGAGATGAAGTCAGGCATTACAAGCACCTCTAAAAATGGCTGTCTTCAATATGAACTTATGAATTTAACAAGCCAGAATGTCTAGATGCATGGACGACACTACTGGTGTGATGCCACAGTTACATGGAAGGAGAGGAAGGGACAGAGAGGGTTTTCTTAGGGGCACCCACTGCAAAGAGTCTATGAGAGACTTCTTAGGAGGAGCAGGAGTCAATCTATCCAATATACTCCCATATGGGACTGTTCAGCTCTCTGAGATGTCTGACTGCCTGACACCCACAGGGAGGAGACAGAGAAAAAGTTCAGGAAAACAACTTGGCCATAAGGTCTCGATTTGCTCATACCCAAGGCCTCAGCGGTGACGGTGTAGATCCAGCAGTGATGACAAGCTGAGTCATTTTGGAAATAACCAGATCGGCTATAAGCTGTCTGTCCTCTTCCACATGCTCCCCAATCAGGGGCATCGAGCTGTCCATCACCTACCACAGGAGGGAAAAACAACAGTTAGTAAGGAGGTTTCCTGGCAGCAGGTGCCTGTTTCAGCTCACCTCTCACACTAACATGCTTTGTGTCTCAGCATCCTTGTCAACACCTCTAGTCGCCGCTCCCCTCCATGCTGAAACATGCTTGACTTTCCTAGGTGTGGGATTTCACTTAGGTTTTTTTGGAAATGGCATGTACTTCCCCCCACTCCCCATCTTCCTTCCTTTCACAACTTGGAAGCCAAGCCAAGCCAAGCAGTCTGGTGGCTGAAGGCTTTCTAAATCAACTAAACACAAGCTTGCTTCTTCACATGTCCTGAGGAGATGCCTTGATGGATGAGGTCTCTCTGGCATTGTCCCACAGCACTTGGGGGTGACATTGCAGCAGAAAGGCCCACAGGAGAAGGGAAACAACATGTACCGAAGCCTGAGGAGATGAGAGCAACAGGGACTGGAGGAAACCAGGAAATATTTTGGGATTAATCAATGCAAAGCACTGCACCCTGAGAGGGGAAATAAACACCACAGATGTGTAATGAATTGGATGTCACCAAAGCAACAGCACCCAATGCAGGAAAGTAAACTTATTCTCTGCTTGTCTTCTTGATAACGTTGTGATACGACTGCTTCCCAAGCAAGTACTACAACTGTGCTGGGGAAAGCTGGGAAGCAAGACTGTGGCGATGGGGGAAAGGGAACTGTCAAAGGGTCTTTGAGGTAAGAAATGGTCTGACAACAACAACAATAATAATGAAAACACAGCAGACCCTCAGCTGTATAGCAGCCCTAAACATAATTTTCAACAGTTCATCATAAATCAAGTGCTTTGCAAACATTAGCTAAATCCCACAGGAAGAACTGTGCTATGATGAAGTTAAGATTCAGCTGGGGTAAATATAATTGTACCAAAATGTCAGGGTTGGAAGAGTGTATTTTATTTTGCTTTTATTTTTAAGCCAAACATTAAAAACCCTGGAAAGGCAGATTTGAAGGTTGCATTGCTCAAGAAAGGCACTGACTCATGCTCAGATAACAATCGGAAGTGCACTCCACCCTGGCAAGGCTGCAAGAGTCCACTCTTGGGGTGAAATGGAAAGTTTTGCACCCTTTTTTTTAGATTTAAAGTAGGGGAAATCAGTGAAGTGAGTTAATCGAGTTTGTATTCTAGTCTTTTCTTGTAGAATAACTATTAATTTGGATTCATTTCTATAGGTGTCTCATATGAACGCTAGAGAAGCTGCCTGGGAGGTTTTAACTGGGGTTTGCATGAAGAGTGAGTTGGTGTTTATATCCATGGCCTACTTGACCCAGGGAGTCAGGAGGTTAGAAAATTAGATGGCAGAGCTCAGCTAAATACACAAAGTGGCTTTTCATTCCACTATCCACTTCGCTGTTTCTCTGTTAAAAAATGAGGTGGGGAAAGGAGATGTTTCTGAGCAGTGTCAGGGAACGGCCAGTTCGCGCCTGTGTCTCACTAGCCAGGGGCTCCTGGGGGCCCTCCAGCAGGTTCCTGTGCAGATTTTCCTCCCCTCCACTCCCACCGTAAAAGCATTCCCGTTTCATTTGGTAATTCCAATTCATGTGTGAGAAAAGAGGTCCCCGCTCCCTGCAACGCCCCGTGCGAGGGACCTGTCTGACCACTAGATGATGCCATTACTCTGCTAACAGCCTGGCCAGCGAAGCCTAGCTCCTGACTCCCTAACCCTCCCTGCGAGTCACTCGGATACAGCTCTGGTCAAAACACCCCGAACCCCTCATTTCCCCACCTTAAGAACTGCTTTTCACTATTTCTGTGGCAGTAGTGGCTGGAGAGGAAGGGGAAGATGCTGTTTTATAAAACAAAGGCACCGGGGGAATGAACCCTGGAGCAGGTCCACCTGAACCAGTGAAGGTGCACCAGGGATGAGGGTATCTGCTCTCCTGCTGTGTCGTGTTTGGCAGGGGAACGTGAGCTGTGGGAGACTGCAAATACGGGAATGAACAATCACATGTATAAGGGAAGGCCTTTGAAAATGGCAGTGATTTCTGTGGGCAAAACAACACAGCTGGTTGCCACTGAACTGAAAAGGAGCATGAGATGTCACCTTGTCTGTCCTCTGGGAAATGGGAATTGCTATGGAACTGGGCAGATATGAATGCTAATGCTGAAATAAATCAAACAGCTGGAAGGACTATGTGAATCACAGACAGATTGCACTCATCTCTTCCTGGGGAGATCACAGAACAGCTGGGCAAGACAAGAAGACGTTGACACATATGGACCCGGCCTTTGTAGCTGCCCAAGGTCAATGGCTGCTCCTGATGCAGCTGCTGTTGCCTGATAAGGTGTGCGAGGGGAGAGCGGAAAGCGGCCGGGCAGAGAAGAGACTTAGGAAAAAACCCCATCCCACTCCTCCCCCTGCGCCTATCTGACGCTGAAGCCTGAAGGCTGGACTTGTTATTCCATGCTCTGATGTGCAAGAGTGGGGTGTTAGGTGATTTTTAGGGAAGGAAGGAAGGAAGCAGATGATTAGACATATCAAAAGAAATGATATGGCAGTGCTGAAGGGATGGGCAGGGCTTCTTGCAGGGCAGCGAGGAGCATGTCTAGTAACACAGCTTAGCTGCATGGCAGGTAGGGCTTAGCTGATCCAGGAGGAAGAATAAATCCCATGGATCATTTTACTTGCCCTCCATTCACTCCATATTTGTCAGCATAGCAGAGATGTGGAAAAGGGTTAGATTACCGAAAAAGGGGAGGGGGAGGGGGATTATTAAACCATAGATGCTGCTGAGCTCTTTTGAGAATCTGGCTGCTAACAGTGGTACCAAACTTGCGCTATTTTGAGGATCTGACCTTCTGGTCAAGTGCTGACTACTCATGCTGAATATCCCCTTAGAGTGACAAAGTTCTTTAAAGCAGAGGAAAAAGAAGTACCAGCATTTACTGTTAAATTCACAGCTTTTTTAATAGAATGAAACTTTGAAGAAATCTATTGATTTTTCTTCAAAGTTTTCAATATGAGCCATGAAAATGGTGCTTAAGCGTGCTAGTGCTTTGAAGGGCAGAAACGTACTAGGTTCTGCTGTTTGCCATGGAAAAAGAAAAGGTGAAGTTCAAGTAACAGCAAATACCATGGGTGCAAGATTGCTCTCGTGCTGTTCTGATAACTCATCTGTCTTAATCTGATTCTGTTTGCAACAAACCACTGTGATAAATCTCAGTTCATAGAACTGCCCATCACTACCTCTGCAAATCTTTCCTAGAGAACTGCTTTGCACTGTGAAAATTAATTACTGCCTGCAATTGCATTGTGCAAATTCCTTATTTGTTCAGCCCATTTAGGCGTGCTTTGTTGTAAAATGTCACAGCACACTGTTCCTTCTCACCAAGAAAAATACAACTGTCGCACTGTCAAATAACTTTTTTCTCCCACTATCAAAAGAAAAAAGCAAAATAAAGGATCGGTTTCAGACCAAGAAAAGTACCCCAGGAAGTAGGCTGGAGGCAATTAATTACTTGTCAGCATCTCCCTCAGATCTGCATAAAGTAGAAAAGGTGCTTGTTTGGCTTTGTTCTGCTCTTTGTATTGCACTACTCTACTCCTTTCCCGACAATGTCCATCAGCCTGGCATCTGAATGCCTGCTAGATGTTGGGATAATTCAGCATGACCCATCTGAAGCTGATGTGTTTCTTCTGATTTGTATCATATTAGATCCATTGCTTTTTACCTTGGTCTCAGAGTGGAGTACTAGTGTGCATTTCTCTCTGTGTGTGCAAGCTGATGATGGCTGTTAGCGTATGGATGTGCTTTTCATCCAGTCAGTCACACACAGGGGCAGATGTGAAAACCCAGAGGTATACCCAGACAGACGCATATAATCCTTAAGCACAGAATTAGCCATGTGTGCACGTACGTAGGCTTTTATGCAAGAATAGATGCAGAGATATGAAATCCATGTCTTACATCTAACCATGTATGGACACAGTCCAAATGTCCTTACAGTCGTCTCTAGCAAGACTGCTTTCTTGCCCTTCCTTTCTCAGCTACACGTCCATAGAGATATAAAAGTGCATGGCAGGGAGACAGCCTGCTCTGGGGGATGCTCCTCTAGGTGCTGATGAATTGCATACAGAAGCAGACCCATCAGCTGTGGCCCCATCACTTCAGGAAAGACAGAGGCTCACCAGCATTTGGTTGCTGGCAGCCTGCTTATATCACATGGCCTTTGACAGGTCACTCCTCCCCGGAGAGCAGATATATAATGCAGGAATGTGCAGTCGCTGGAGGGCTCATGTGGTTCTCATCAGCATCCCAACCCTCAGCGGGTGGGACTGCTCTCCCACACATAGCTTTCCAGTGTGTCAGCACCCCTGCATGAAGCCATAGGCTGGCTCTGCTCATCTTCCTCGGCCGGCCTGTGTCGGTGGAGTTTACAGCAGGTCAGATGCTGTGCCTCTTTGAGTCACATAGTGACAGAGGCACTTGCTTACTTGCCAGATCTTCTCTCCCCCAGAGCGTCTCTTAAGTTTCCACTTTGATTTTCTGACCAGCTTTTCCTTCTTTGCCCTGTTAGGATGACCTGAGTGTGCTATCCACCCCACTCCCACGTCTGCCTCCTGGCCTGGCAAGGAGCCCATTGAACTTTAGCCCTCAGATCCACAGTCTGTCCAACTCTGAACACAAAAGTTTGTAGTCCACACTGCCCATAGTAACTCTGTGGTGCTTTGTCTTGCTGGTCTGTTATTGTACTGAATGCTGTCCGGGCAAAAGATTTTAGAAAATACACCTATTTTTTAAATTAAATTGTTCCTGCTACTTATGGACCTTTTTGCTACACTCTCACCATTTATTTTGCTCTTTTAAATTAGATGCAGCTAGGATTTTTATTATTGAGGTTCCCTTTAAAGTGATTGGAGAACAACAGGTTCATTCACAGAGAAACTGAGATTTTTAATGGACTGAGTCACCTGCTGGACCTCTGTGTGGGTAATGGGAGGAGGTTAACATGACTAATGCGCTAGCATTGTCTGGCACCTGAATTCAGGTTGGGCTTAATGTGGGCACATTTGTTCATGGTGCTGTTGATCCCCACTAGCAGCCAAGGAAGGATGGTATTGGGGCACAGGTACACTGAGACACACCAAACTTTGGATGCTGCCAGCAACACTTGCAGGCTGTTAGGTGCTCGATAAGAAGGCAGCTTCATATCTGTCCCATGCTGGTAAGGTTCTGCACTGTGAAGATCTATCAGCCGGAAAGCTGGGGTGGCCAAGCAGTCTGTCCATTTCCTTTCGCAGTCCACATTGAGAAATGAATACACTTCACCCCTGACACCTTGCTACATACCTGCCAGTTTAGCTGGGACTAAATCAGTTTCTTGCATATCAGTGGGCCACAGCTTGGAGGAAAGAGGTGGGCACTGAGGAGCAGTGACTGTTGGACCATGCACACAGGGGTAAGCGAGCACATTGGTGCATGTGAACACCGAGGGAGCGTGTTTGCAGATACACTTCCCAAAGGAGACTTGCATTCAGGTTCCCCATGCTCTCACCTCAATAATATAGTCTTTTCCATCTTTGCTGTGGACAGCTTTGACAGCGCAGATGTCAAGACCTCCAAACATTTCCGCGCAGGCGTCTGCCCAGAGTCTGTACCTGCAGAAACCACAGAGGCATGGCCTAGGATTAGCTGTCATTGGAGTCCAGCAAATACAGCCACTCATCCTGCGGCCCGTAGGAGCACAAATCAGTTCTGGAGCCCTTTTTTATCACAAGGCGTACTTCATATGCTTTGCTGTGTCATTGCCTCCCTCTCTTGCACAGGAGATGGAGCAAAAAAAGAATCTTTCCTGAAGTTTCCCTTCATTTCAGACTGTTTCAATCCTGCCCTCAAAGCCACCTTAAAACGTTTCTTTCACTCCTCAGTATTTACATCAGATCACCAGTTGGTTGTCATTTAGCCAAGCTATAAATATTTAGCTCATTTAATCTCCCAGTACTGTTGGCCCCTTAACGTTTGTATTGGCTTTGCCTGAAAGCCCTCCATTATGCAGGCAGCTTTCTCCTGATAAGATGTCCTGCACGTTGGGGCTGGAATAGGATCGGAAAGTGAGTGCAGAATTTAGCAGGGAGTAGCCACCCCCTCCCTGATCTGTAACCCAGTGGCTCCTGCTTTTTACAATTTACTCTTTCAATTTCATCCTTTTACAGTCTCCTCCCTCCACTCTATCCCCTGGGTGTTGCTCCTAGCCAGGCGGTCCCATCACATGGACCAGGCACTGCTTTGTCAGAGGGAGAGCTACAGGCTGTATCCCTTTTCTTTAGCTGTCCCAGAATGGGAACGCGAGCTGGTATGAACAGGGGCCAGGCCTGGCGGGTGCCCCCTTAGCTATCCTGGTGTCAGAGGAGGAGAGAGAATGACAAGAGGCGTATTATGGTGGGACCGCATCCCCCCGCTGTGGAAATGAGGAGGGAATGAGGCGGCCTGGTTTTATTTCCTGTGCAGCTGCACCACAGTCCCGACCATTTAAATAAAAATAATAATCTCAGAACAGCAGATCTGTAAGCAGGACTATGACAAGATGCGGGGAGGGGAGGGAAGGCCGCAGTCTCATGAAAACACTGACATTTTGCAGACCCTACAGGGACTGGGAAAAGAGCTGTTCTGGCCAAAGGACAAGTTTATGTCCTTGAAGCCAGCCAGAGTCCCCATAGCTTGACAGTATAATGATCAACTTGTGTGAACACAATGTCTGTGGGAAGAAGCAAGAGTATGGCTTATATGACTACCAGTGCTCTCTTATCCCTAATGAGGAGACCGAGCACGTTCACCCCTGCCCCCCTGAGGAAGAGAGCGCCTGAGGATGAGTCAGTAGCATAAGGAGGAGGAGAACTGTGGACCCTGTGAGCCAGGCAGGAGGCACTGCCAGCCCCCCTCCTGCACTGCTGTGGTCCCACACCCAAGGGCACCATCATGGGAACCACCTCTCCTCCTGAGGGACATCTCTAGGTGTCTGG